GCCCGCCGCCTCAACGGTTGCAAGTGGTTGCCGCGCTGCCGCAGGGCCGAGATTGAAACGCTCGTCAGAGGCTGCAGCGCGCCGCGGGCCCCCCTGTCCCTCCCTACCGGCGGCGGCGCCCCCCGTTTTGCGGCCGCTGCCCGCTCGCCGCCCGCGTCGCCCCGTCCTTACCAACTCCCCCTGCGTGTGTGCCGGTGGTTGGGCTGTCGCAAGCGCGCTTTTCGCACGCACTCTTTTGGTTGCCCGGGACCTGCTGGACGGGACCCGCCGCCGCACTAGGGCGGCCCCTCTAGGCCAGGAGGGAGCGAAGGCAAGGGATACCTTTTCGTGTCCAGCTTCGTAGCGGCCTCTGTACCACCATCCACTCATTTCGGGTCGCTCTCGGCGGCGCCTCCCTCTTGCCAGATTACATGTGAGGCCACCGCGCGGCAGGCCGCCGCAGCCGGCCCGCCCCAGGGACGGTCTTCCGTTTGTACTAGCACCTTCCACCTTTGCGCCCCTGCTGCGCCGCCCGCCTGCGTTGTCTGTACATTTCAGCGATTGTAACATACATGCATAGAGCCAGAGTTAGCACCGGCGGCGGGGCGCGCCGGGGCCGACGGGGGGCGCAGATAGATAGTTGGGGGCGCTTGATTGCAACGGGCAGGGTCTGAGAGGGGAACGGCGACGTGGGCCGCGCCCTGACGGCGGGGCTATCACTGCAACTTTTGTGCAGGTGACAGGGGCGGGGGGCGGCGCTGGGTGCCCATAATGTCTGAAAAAAGGCAGGTAGCCATTGGTGTGTTTGGCAGCACACTGGGGATGGAGTGTGTGCCTGCTGTATGCCTGTGATGGGGCCCTGATCTAGTCAACAAAGTTGGTTCAAAAAGCAAAAACCCCTGGGCGCGCACCATTTTGCGTTTTTTTTTCATGTATGGTCACGGCTTTGTTTTTTTTTCAGCCTCAGGGGGTTGCATTTGAGTGGGACATGCGCTCAACATATAGAGCGCGTCCGCACCCACGGCGGGCACATGTGGGCCGATCTTGCATATGACCCCCCTCCAACACGCGCTGTGTCTCCTGACAGCTGCAAGGCTGCCATGTCATCGTGCTAAACAAGCCTCTATACCGTGCCGGATGGCACCCATCATGTGTGAAAAATGATGCAGCACTTCAAGCACATTGACCTGACACATACAGTGGTCAATGTAGGGAGAATGGCCACAAGAGACGTTTGACCGTAGCCCAGGAAACTCCATATCCCTCACATGATATTATAAAGTGTCTCCAGCACTGATTTGTGAGCATCTGATACGTGAGCAGTGCATTGTGGTACTTGCCGAGCTGCGCTGCCCTCTTTCCCTCCACACAAAAGACCATAGTATGAATATATAATCCCCATTTTGATATACCTTTCATAGAACTGCCACATCATCCTCGCGGTGGGCCCAACCTGGCCCGGGTCTGTTCCGCTGCGGTGAACCGGTAATCGGGACCTGAGCACAGATGGGTCAGCGGCATTGATGAATACAAGTTCGCGTGTGTGGACGCCACAGTCAGGGAACATGGCGCGCGGCGCTCAACAAGCCAGCATGCATGCTGCTAACAATCGTGGTGACCTGCCGCTATGACGAGGGTGCCCATGGCTCCCATGACATAGAGGATGTGGGGGCGGCTGTTCCCATCCCCGCCCGTGTGCCCACACATTTCTGGGTGTAGAGAGAGAGAGAGAGAGAGAGACTACGCTGACGCCTCGCGCGGCTAGAAGCCACGCTGCAAGCGGCGCCGCGTCGGGTTAAGGAGAGGGGTGTGTGTGGTGAGCCACACCCCCCACCGTGTTCTGGGTGTAATTGAGTTTGAGGTGTATTGACCACCCTTTTGATGATTTGATGGCACCGCGTTGGTCGATCAGGGCTTCACAAATATGCACATGTGGCGGATGTATCCGTTTGAGAGCACGTGTTGTGTGTCAGACCCCCACATCGCGCTCCAAGATCACCAACTCAACAGGTCAGCCCCCTGGACGCATCGATGTCACTGCTGACGCTGACGCTGCGCTAGCCAGTGACGCGCTCCTGGCTGCGTGCATGGGGCTTGTTTGTGTCGCCCCGTAATTATCACTTTCTCAGCATTCTGATTCGTGGGACGGTTCGTTGGTTTGCATCGCAGATCGTCAATTAGGTCGGCAATCTCGTCTGCGTCGAATACGCTAGTGAGGAAGGGATTACAGTCTGAAAGGGCGCGCAACAGCGTTCCGTGTTTGATCAAGGTTGCATCTGTAAGCGCGCAAGGTGGGATTGGTCACCCTGACATTTTGAGAACACGGGGTGCCGCACCCTCCTGGCCCGCAGAATGGAGACGCGCCAGTGGTCCATCGTCACCGGAGGTGACATTCTGGGCCGAGGCGCGCCAGCTGACGTGATCAAAGGCAGCGCGCACCCCCGACCCCAACGGCGCCGCTCGAGCCTGCTGGGCTCCGGAGTTGCGGCACACTAAGACAAAGCCGCGGCGCCCCCCGCAAACCGGGCGCCATGCAATTACCAATCGGCAGATCGGCGACAGCAAGAGGCGTTCGATGCTGTGTTGACCGGTCAACATGGGCATCTGCTCTTGGGCGTGCCGGCCGCAGGCAACCGGGGCTTGGGCTTCGAGGTGGCCAGGAGCCTGGTAGCAAGAGGCCGCCCCATCATCATCGCCGTGCGCGACGAGGCCGCGGGTGCGTGGGCCTCCCGTCGCCGCCCCTGCCGCCACACCTCATGCGGCCTGCCGGCATTGAGTGCTGCAGGGCCGCTGCGTCCATTGCTTTGAGTGCGCCCGTCGCCCGCTGGCCGCTCAGTATAACCGGAGCCTGAGCCAGGACCCCTCCTGCCGGGTCTGACCGCCACTCCCCTTCATCACCTTCATGTTTGGCCACCTCCGGGCCCATTGTTTTTCTGCTGCACACGTGCGTGCTTTTGTGCAGGCGACAGAGCCGCGGCCGAGCTGCGGGCCGTGGCGGGGGCGCGGGTGGAGGTGCTGCGGCTGGACGCCAGCAGCGGCGACAGCATCGCGGCGTTTGCGGCCGAGGTGGGGGCGAGGTTTCCCGGCCAGATCGACCTGCTGGTGGGTGCGCGGGCGGCTCCCATCGTCCAAATGATTGCTGTATGTACTTGTCCACGCACCTGCGTAGTTGGATTCGTTGTGCGAGTGGTATGGGGGAGAGACCGGGGCTGCTGTGCGGGGCGGCCGCATGCAAAAGTGGAGCAGCCAGTGGCGCCTGGATGTTCGGTCAGTGGCTCAGTCAACCGAGTGCGCCGTTATTTCGCGCGGCTGGCTAGCATTTTGATGCTCTTTGGGCGAGCCGCATGAAGAGGTGCAATCACACGCCATCACGTTTGACCTTGGACTTTCGATTCCAACAATGGGACAGCTTGCTCTTGCCTTGCTGGTGGCGCCCTTGCTCGGTGATCACGTGAATGAAGCGCACAGCCAGCAGCACACAAGTGCAGAAGCCTGCCAGTTGCCACGCATGCGTCAGCCCCTGCCGGCTGGTGTTTGCTGTGCGCCGGCTCGATTCCACCCTAAAGCCATCACACCCCGCCTGCACCGCCCATCGGCTGGGTGGCATTTGCCCCCCAGGTGAACAACGCGGGCATCTTCATTGACTCCTTCGACGCCCCCTCCCACGCGGCCACTGTCGCGACCAACACCGACGGCCCCGTGGACGTCACACTCGCGCTGCTGCCGCACCTGGCGCGGGGCGCGCGCGTCGTGATGGTGGCGTCAGGTGGGCGCCTGCCCTCACACCGGCGGGGGCTCGGAAGTCCTGGCTGGAACCAACTAGTCAAGGTTCAAGCATGATTGAGAATAGTTCCTGTAGCCAGTTGGACAACTGCGGGGTGGTCAGGCGTCGTCCAACTTTTCCTGGGCTAGCAGGGTTGAAGGCGGGCGCCGCCTTGCCCCCCATGCCACGCCACGCGGGGCCCGGGCAGACGCAGTGCGTGTGTGCAGGTGTCGCGGGCTCGGCAAGCACCTGCTGCCGCGGCGGCGGCGGCTGCGCAGCTGCGCAGCAGTCCGCTGTGCCCTGCCGGCGTCGCAGCCTGGCAAGGCCGACTGATGAGGCCACCTCCTTCCCCTCAATTTGTGTCCTCACTCCCCCCCCTCTCTGCTTGGCAGCCGCCCCTTGTTCTTGAACCAGCCAAACCCCTCTACCCCTCCCCCAAACACATTTGCGTGCGCATGCGACGCTCACCGCCCCGCCGCAGCCCTGGGCCAGCTGGGCGCGCTGAGCCCTGATTACGCGGATCCCATCAGGGCCGCCGTCACCCTGGACGAGGTCAAAGCCGCCGCCCGCAGGTTTGACCCCGGCAGCCCCCTATTGAAAATCAACCCCCTGACGCCGTCGTACAGCGTGTCAAAAGCGGCACTTATAAGGTGAGAGAGTGTCAATGAAAATCTGCTGGGGCATACAGTTTCCCCCCTACGCCCACGCCTCGCCCCCGCCCCCGATACCGCCGACCCCATTCCGCACCCCTGATTCGGCGCAGCGCCCTTCTCCTGCTTGCAGGGCGGCCCAGATCCTGGCGGAGGCCCCAGGCTTTGCGGCCAAGGGCATCACTGTCGTGGCCGTCTGCCCCGGCTGGTACAGTGCGGAGCTGGGGACGCCAAGCACGCTGCGCGCGCCCCCGCCGCCACCCGTCCTGCAGGGAGAGAACCGCGATCAAACCCTCCAGCCTGATTAACATTGCAAGCCGGCGATGGCCCACAGAGTCCAGCCCTCTGCACCACAACGCATCAGCGCCCGCCACGCACCCTTGCTTGACAATGTGGGAAACCGCGGCCGCAATCGCCGGCCACACTGCCCGCCCCACCCAGGTGCCGCACTGACATGAGCAAGGCCGCCGAGGAGAAGACCGGCGCGCAGGCCCCGCACACCGCGCAGCAGGGCGCGGCGTCGATCTTGGCGGCGGCGCTCGAGACGGGCAGCATTCCGAACAGCAGCTTCAGCCACGACGGTGCCCTGCTGGACTGGACGGCCAAGCCGGCGTTGTCGGTGACAGGAGAGGGGTGATTTGGCCGGCCCCACCGCCAGCGTGCGATTCAAGCAGCTGCTGGTGTTGGCGGCGACTGTTTGAGGATTCAAAGTGGGCACGTATCGGGCGCGTGACCAAAGCGCAAGCGCTGCTGCACCAGCGAGACACAACCTGCAAAACACGCGCATCTGCGACGTCGGGGCCGGCCGGTCCTGAGGGCCTCACGCCGTAGTCTGTTGTACAACCTACACATGGGGGCCTTTACGGATGTGTGTCTGATTTTCTTACACCTCCACCCGACTGCCAATCAAGGAGCCGACAATGCTGGCCCAGCATTGTGCACCCCGGGGGTGCAGGTCGAGCTGGCCCAACCAACTCTGGGCTCCCCTGGCAGAGGGGCGTCGCAGTTGTGCGGCGGTACGGGTTGCGGGCCAGCAGCCGTGCTTCACTGCACTGGTGCAGCTCCGGTGCTTGAGCCGCCCTTCCTTGAGCAAGGATGGTGCATGTATGGCCCGTCACAAGGGGTGTTGCATGCATGCATGTTTCGATGTCATGGGCCGTTGTAACTGTGTTGCAACTGCAAAAGGGTGTTGTTCAATATCTCCAGTAGTCATAAATGGCAGTCCCACTTGGCCTGCACCTCGCACATCTTTCAAGTAACATGAGGTTGATTTTAGCGTGTGCTTGCCCTGGGTTGAGGTTTTATGGACCTCCACACAGGCGGTGTGTGTCAGCAAGCCTTATGGCACACCGCGATGGTAGGTGAGATCCACAGACAGCTGGCGGGTATTTTTTGAGGGGGGGAGCAGGGCGCCCCGAGGTTTGCCATATAAGAGAGAAGCATGAAGGCGCGCGCGGCAAGTTGGTTCGCTCGCAGGTACTAGATTACGGGGATGGGCGCATCCTTCGGGCGGCTCGGCCCCAGGAGTGCAATCTGCGGGGCCCCTGTCTTACTCAGGCGCTCGTCGCCTTCAAGAGTGCCGCCGCAGCGTCAAGTCTCTCGCACCCCCTCCAGGCCCGCCGGCTTGGAACACGCCCGGCCATTTGATTCCTTGTAGCTGGCGCCAGCAGCTTGGACGGGACACCCGACTACCCGTCACGCCACAGTGGTGCCCCATGCAGCAGGTTGAATTTGAACAGGAATATGGTAGCCCACTACACGAGGCCACCACCAGGCGGCCGGCCGGCCACATACCGTGGCGTGGGGTACCGGTACATGTCATGCCTTGCTGTCAGTGAGTTGCCATAGGCCTTCCTGCCTGCGTTGCGGCTTGGCTGGGACCGGTGACACGATAACAAGATCACTTAGCCCGCGCGCCAAATCGACCTCGTTCAGGATTTCAAACTGACGAACTAGTTTCAAGGACCTGTCCAAATATATCGCCCTTATTGTAGCTCCGCGAAGCGAGCACAACCGAGATCATCGCAACTTGGCACCCGCTTTCCCTGCTTTTGCGTTGGGATACGGAAAATTTGGCAACGCTGACGGTTTTTCTCTCGACGTAAGGTTAGAGCCCCTGGCGCCAGCGGTCCGCGGGCTCGCACAGCTCCGAGCGCAGCGTCTGTAGGCAACTGAGCGGCGATCGCGGCCAGCCAAAGCGCATTTCATGATGTAATTTGCGCTTGTAAACAGCTGCGTTACCAGCGGTGGAGGGCGCCGCTCGCAGCGTCGCGCGTCTCGTGCCGCTGCGCCGGCTCCGCCACGGCAACAGCGAGCAGCGGCGCGCGCCGGCGCCCTGCGTGGGCGCTGCCACTTTGTTAGGTGTGATCGACGCGCAACTCTCAGGGCTCATATGCTCACGCATGCCGCGCCGCGCCCTGTCTTGGACAGGTGACGGGCGAAAAACCTCCCAGCGTCTGCCCTACCCTAAGGCACCCAGCCAGGTGGGCCCCTGCCGCAGCGCGCGGCACACGCACGCACACATACATGCATCGCCGTGTGGCGGCGGCGGCGCAGGCCAGGTCTGATGCACGTGGCGGCACGGCGCGACAGAACAGGCAGCAGGAACTGCCCGCGTTGCAAGCATACAGCAGCAGCGCCCCCTTGCCGTGTGGGCCTCCCACCCCCTAGCCCCCCCAACCCCCCTCGTCAAAACCCATCCACATCTCCCACGCGCCGGCAGCCATGGCGTCCCGCAAGAGCACCCCGGACGATGACTACGTGGACGACGATGACGACATCATCAATCAGGTGCCACCTGCGGTTGTTGGCTGGTGACACACAAAGCTGCGCCCCAGCAGCGCGCCGCGGCCCGTGGCAGCTTTCCGCCCGCCAGAGCCGCGAGTCGGGCCTTTCAGACGGCCCACAGGCGCCAACCACCGCAGCGCAGCCCTGGCCCCCAGCCCTGTGCTGGAGCGGCGCGGCTAGCAGTGCGTGCGCCCGGCCATCGCCCGATGTTTGCGCGTCCAGGGCACTGCACGCCCCTCTCTGCCGACCCCGGACCTCCCCCCGCACCCCATGCCGCCGCCCTCCTGCCCTAAAAGGATGCCATGGACGAGGACGACGACG